AGTTAACGTTTGGCGAACAAGAGAAATATGTGCCGGTCATGACAACGATGGCGAGCACAGTGTACCTCTGTGTACATATTGTGGAATAGCCTGAGAACAGCGTTATTAAGATCAACTAAATAACAAAATACTGCGGTTTGAGGGCTTCAGAGAATTCTGAGTGTTCTTGTTTAAGACTAATTTGAAAACCATCTCTTAGTCACATCTAAAGTCAATGTGATATCTAGAAAACGGATATTTTCTCGTGTAGTTAACAAAAACAAATATTTACAATTTATTTATTTAATATAGGTATAATATATGTACATATATATATATATATATATATATATATATATATATATATATATATGTATAATTTGTGTATTGCAACCAAAGCCTGTCCAATCGTAAGAAATCGCATCGACTCGCGTTTTATACAAAAAATGCTGACTTATTATTGAAAAGTCCTTCAAAAAAGTTCTTACTAAAAAAAAGTTGAAACTGCGCCCCAAGTAACTGTCTATTCAAAGGTTACTATTAGTTGGGTCAATGGTTTTAGGTGCCAAGAATAAATACGGAAGGATATAAATGCATATAGCGGAAAAACACAGGCGAAAATTGTAAACTTGATATAGTTTCCGTTACCACGCATTTATTATTGCGTAGTGTACCATATGGCATCGGCGCGTTGCATGAGTCTCTCCCTATTATAGGACACAAGCATATCAGGCCGCGTCACTGTCGCAGAATAACAATAGGACAACGATGATTTTGGTGGATATATGAGGCTAACTAATACACACAGTCTAATATACTAGTCAGCTGGATTTTAGTTATACTTACCACACATAGGGTAATTAATATCTACATACGTATTCAGCCGACATGTAACATCATGTCTGTTCCGCATCTGAAAGTGAGAAAAGTCGAAAATTTTCACTAACTGTTAACAGGAAAATGCGTTTAGGAAATAAGGTCTGCGAAAGTAGACATGGCAAGTCGTCCTACAGGAACGGCTTGAAAAATTTACTTCTAGCAGGATGCTCTAAGCAGCCCTATTCAATACGCACTTGATTTCGAGGTCGACATGTAGGTTTGAGAAGGTCCTCCAGAGCGAGCATAGTTGTGGGAGTCCGATATCTTTCCTAGTCTATCCTGACCACGTTTCTATACGTTTCAGAGTCGGCAACTGTCGTATCAGCTTAATCGTGCATCAATTGTGTTACCGTCCTAGAAAAAGCTTTTCTTTAAAAACAGGCTACTCAAATCTCATGGATGATCCTAACAGTCTGATTGAAAATATGAAGTATCATTGAAAATCAACTGTTCGCGGTACGTGACCCTTGGTAGCAGCAATAGGTTCCTAGAAAACTGGAAAAAGAACGTCATTGCTTGAACGGTCTAGGCAAAGCCATATCCTTATTTACTCCCATATTCTACCCTTTAGCGCTATTCAATACGAATAATGTACTGTTCGAACTAAATAAAAAAAAAACCCACTGTCCTTTGATATCTCGCGGCCCCATAATGCGGGTCTGCTTCTCATACAATACAATGAGAATAACCCTTTGAGGCTTTTAAACCTCAGCAAAAGGTCAGGCTTGCATATCTAAATGGAGTGATTTTCCCTTGAAAACTTTGAGCGTGTAGTTATTCACGGTTGCGTCACTTGGCCTTATTTTTCGAATCGTCAATGTCTTGTCTCGTTGCGATAATGTTCGTTCGAATGATTGCTAAGAATAGTTTACAATTGATACTAAGCTTACTAGATAAGTGGGTTCACTTAACCGTAGTAGTATGACTGAGTCAGCCAACAGCTTAATATCTGGCTCAGATTGGCTTGTGTACATAAATCGGTATGGTGGATCTTTCTATATGGTAGCGAATATATCTATGTACGACCGCGTATAAAGATATATGAAAATGGTCGACTCATATCTATAACCGTGCCGAGTGGTCTGTACAATCAAATAAGAAAATATACTGCACTATCCGACCCAGAATCAATGTTGCCACAAGCCATTTATATCAGTCAGTGGATGGGTACTCCGAATACGAAATGTATTGTCGGCCGGAAAGGTAACTAGCGCCAAAGTGGGGTGCCTAACAAACAGATCAACTGAAACTAGTAACAAGATTATAGTTATGATTATTATTGGCAGCGTCATGACTGTGCCACTATTTTATTGCGAATTCAAATAACTGCGATCTATATAGGTGTAAGGTGTTGTAACGTTGATACAGAGCAGAAAGTAGAAAAACTATGGACACAAAGGTTTCTCATCAAATAATTCCAGGCCTAAGTACCTACTATATCGAGGCACGTGTTGGAGTTCAACCTAAAGATAAATCATTATTTTGATTATCATTATACACTATAATTACATTGAAATATGGTTAAATATATGACAATATGATTTGTCTCTCTTGCTGCTCCCTGCTGTGCTTCCAACAATATTGTACCACTGAGAGCACTATTCTTTTCCACGCAACCAGAGCACTGCATTTACCTCACAACACAGGAGTCTATAATCTATTTACTGCTATATTGGCGATTTTTGTTAAAAATGACGAAAAAACCCTTTATTACGCAAACAGTTCTAAAAAGTGCGGAGCTGAGAGCGGCAGTGGGGTTGATTGAGGGTTCTTTCTTGTTATTTTTCTATCCTCTATTTCTTTTTTGTCGTCGGTTCTGCTGTTGCTGCTGAAACACATGCTCACTTCCTGCCTGTACTTTTTTGGCGATTGCGGAGCAGCCCGACTTATCCGAACGTAAGTGTAGGCTGGCTCATTTTCGTGGACGGAGCTGCCGTGGCCATTTGCCGGTCCCTAGTTCGGTCCTTCGATCCGTCGGCGGACCTCTTATCAGTAGATGCTGCTGCTCACTGCCCAGAATTGGATTCTGTTCGCACACAATTGAGAAGGGAAGATGGTTCTTCTACTCCCAGAAATGCTGCTGCGGGCATCGATGACGATCGGGTCGCCGCACCCCCTACTCGTCGTCGCCATACTCGGGAAGGCAGCAGCGGTAGCAGGAACCGAAGCAGCTTGCTGTCTGATCCGCCGGACTGCCAGAATGACTTTGCTCGTGCGACCAGACTCCGGTCCGTCGATCCACGACCTCGGAGAAGACGTGTGCGACGTTTTGCTGGGTATCGTACACGCAGCAGCGTGATCAGCTGTGCCATAGGAACACTGGTAAGACGAAATAGCGAAGCAGTTTGGCTAGCGAGCCGTTCGGCAAACACAGACAGGCGCCGGAAGCCGTCGTAGCTGTCATCGCGTAGAAAAAGACCCTTACTCTCGGTTTAACCGAACCGGCTTCCTTGTTCTTCGTGCTGGTACGACGTGTACCGAGATACCTGATAGGCGCCTTGGCAAAATAGCCAATGCAGGAAGAATCGGTTTGAGAGAGGAGGACAGATCACCGAAGGTTCGTCGGGGCACGGCGAGTCTGGCCGGGGCAACCCAAGAGCACCCAATCGCAAGAGAGATTTTCGTCATCCTGATTGTGTGCGAGATTGGCTCCGCACCACCTACTTTACTATGCTGACTCTATCGGCGGTGACGAAAGCCTTATTTCATATCCCACACCATATTGGAGGTTTACATAAGCTTGAGTTCCTACTAAGGATATTCGCACTGGTCTGCTAGACGAGGGTGTCCGTGTCCGGTTTATTCACCCCTGTTCATTTCGGCTCGGTAGAACTACCTACTCGAGGCCTGTTGCCTTATGCTCTTGTTGCTCATCGAACAAGAACAGGGTGACCTTTCGGTGCTTGCTTGCGCTTCGACAGCCAACCGACATAGAAGTCGATAAAGTTTGTTCAACGAACCATACGAATATAGACATAAGAGGCGTCTCATTAAATATGGTTTACGTAGCCCGCAGACAGAAACGTATTTAGTTTAAAAAATAGATATGATTTTACCGAGTACCGTTTTCTGTAGAGATACATGCATAACGAAAGATACTATTATAGACAACATTATACTGTGTCAGCCTCGAATCGTTGATTCGTACTTATATAAAAACCCTGCACTCTTTGGCGAAGCTACCATTGTATTGGCATATTATATGCCACTAAAAGAACACATGAATATATATATATATATATATATTAGTTTTTCTATCTTTTAACTTATTGAGATAAGTTAAAATAAGGAGAATATCTTTTAAGATTATTTTATGTGATCTGCTATAGGGTTATATCAAATTGTTTAGGAGCGTCTCAAGGTTTTTTGTGGCTTACAAAGGTAAACACAGGTATCATCTAATATGGATCATTGCAAAAAGCAATCCATCACCAATATTAGAGACGCCGCTTAATTTGTAATGAAAACTACAGAAAAAGACTTGTACAGCACTTACCATTTTGAAAATGGCATTGGGGGATTCAGTAGCGGAGTCAAATTGTAGAAAAATTGAATAGTGTTAGAATCGGGGACTTTATATTTCGCGCCAGAGATAAAAATAGCCTTATTTTGTCAAGCTATCGAATGCAAGGTCGAAAAAGTATCTGGAAACTCATACAATCAATGTACTCGCGTTAACTGTTGAGGTAAAAATGTTTCTATTTTTAGGTTTCTAGCATAGGATACTTGATTGTCTATTGCTCCATCCTTTCAACAAATACATTCAGATTGCAACGCTTTAAGGGGTTTCGGTGTGCTATATTCGATGAGATTGTCTATTCTGAGCCTTGAACACATTTTGGCAAACACTGTCAAAAATAATATTTAGAAAATATTGAATTTTTTTTTTTATGAAAGGTAATAACAGTAACTTAAACGGCTTACCAAGCCGGTTCGATAATGTTGTAGTATTCATGCTAAAATCCCAGAATAATACCAAACAAAGAGGATCAAATAATGCCAATTAATATTACTGTTAATATCATGTTTAAATTCTATCTCGGCGGTGACGCATAACAAACGACAAAACGTATAGGTAATACCATTCAGATTTCCACACTTGATCTACGCATAAATAGAAAAAAAAAAAAAAAAAAAAAAATAGATCGTACACACGCATACATCCTGTTTTCAGTGTGTATCGATCAACGAGAAATGAAGTTAAATTGTTCAGCGAATAAGTGGGCAGCTATTGCGTGGCCTATTCATCGTGAGTATACTTACTTTAAACATTGTTCCGACATTGAATGAAGAACTAGCTCAGTGAAAAGGCGAATAGCTTCAATATTCCTATCCGAGGTTGTTTGTAGTCAGCGTTTCTATGGGGCTACAATTACGGTGACCGTTGGCTATCCATGAGCTGAGGGCAATACAGAATCCGAGCGTGAACTCTTCTCAACATAATGCACAAGACACTATTAACGACCGACACAGACGGCTGAGGATCGACGCGTTTTGAATTGGTTTTTTGCTTCTACTAGAATGAAACGCGCGACGAGTCGATGTGAGTACCGGAAACAAGAGCAAAAGCCAAAAGGGGGTTCGTGATGGCGCGAGCGTGGGGCATGTCGAGGACTAGATCATAAAAGTTAAACCCTTTTCCGTAAAAGCATGATTGGTACTTTGGTGGTGCTGCTGGGAACACCAGCGCCACCGCCGCTTCAGATCGTAATGCTGACGCTTGAGTTTCTTTCTCTTAAATCGCTTTTGTAACGGTGTATGCAGCATAGCTGGCTCAAGGACTGCGACAGGCCCGAATGGCCTCCTGCAGCAAAAAAGCCTTAGAGAAGGACTGACTGTTTGACCAGTGTGAAAGGCAGCTGGGGTTCGGAGGCTCGGGCAGGGACCGAGAAGCAGCGTCGAAGCGGAGTATCCGGATTCGTTTTGCTTGACTTAGACGGAATAACGGTTTCAGTATGTGTCGCTACAGAGCACTCGAGTTTTGTAGCTACAACTGATTATATAATCATCTGAATTGCACAGTAAAGCGTGGAAAGGCTGCTGTACATAGTAGCAATACAGCTTAAAGGGAGTCAAAATAATTTTATTCTCATTTTATATAGTCATTTTATACTCGAGAAAGAAAAAAAAATAATTTAAAAATATTGTACCGCAGTGAAACAGGAGAATTACCCCAAAGAGGAGATTCTTCCAAATCCATTGTCCTTTCTCGTATTACGTTGGGACGTGACCGTAGGAACACGGGGCGACCCAAAATTTTCGGTATCGTTCCCGCTATTCTATCTGTTAAACCAAAAGAAACCTTTCAGATATAAGAAGTAAATGAAGTAGAGCAGTTGAGCTTGACATTTCACTTGATTAGAGTCTCGAGCAGTGTATTCGTTGTTGTCGGACGATTTTCTCGAGTAGCTGGAGTAGTGAGTCTGAGTTGGGTTTGGGAGCAGACTCGGCGCCATAGAGCATGAAGTAAGTGCGGAGTGATCGGTTCAATGGGGGCTTGGACGAACAGAAGCGCTACGGCATAGTTACTATGGGGCAGCGGAGAAGTACAACGATAGTGATGATTTCGTTGGAAGTTATTCCAGTCGAGTTTTTCTGATCTTTTTTAGGCAAGTAGCGCCGGAAAGAGCCAGTATAGAGACCCGTGAGGAGGATCGGCAGCCTAAAAACTTGCCAAACAAGTATATAACATGTCCCCACTGCCACGCCACGTGTCTGCTAGCACTGCTACTGCCGATACTAACGCAACGCGTGCTACTATCGTACACACATACATCGTCAACTTTGTCTCCCAACCTTCATCGACTTTCTATGCAGGCGCTATCTCGGCATCGGCTTGCAGTTTTGCTTCCTTGATGTCCTTCTGCCTTTGGACAACAGCCAGATTTAGCAAAACAGAACGTTGTCCTGCTCTGAGTACGACACGGTTCAGCTACAGTTGGCCGAAAAAAGGCAACAAGCGGCAGCAGAACCAATTCATGACGGTATCGGCACCCAGTTCGGCACTTTGCTCGCGCTGGTTAGCTTTTCCTCTTCCTACAGTTTTTGAAGGGTGCTGCTAGCAACAGTAACACTGGCGAGTATCCTTAACACCCCCTTTAAAAGCAGAGGTATTGCTTTTCTTCGAATGCACGTTGAATATAGCGTTTGTGTTGGGAAGCTCTGCCTGAGAAACACCGGCAAGAGCTGCAGTACGCCCTCACATACTAGGTGAACAAACGCATATCGACACGCACTCATGCGCGCTTTGGTGGGCGTGTGAAAAATGCGTAAACGAAATGAGGTCCGTCCAACCAATAAGACCGACTAAAGAATCGACCATCTGCAAAGGGGCTAGTAGTAGTTTGCGAGCAAAGCGGAAATGGCGGACGGCGGATTGTGCGAAAAGGACACGCCAAACAGCAGAAATTTACACCATAAAAGCAATATGAACAAACAGGCCGGGCGCTGGAAAAGTGACAAGTAGGCACTATGGGCAACGGCTCGGCGGTCGGTACCTACTAAGTTGAAGTAATTTAATAGGTGAAATTTGCGCTGTGAAATTTGAAGTTAGCCAGCGGAAACGAGAGCAAATAACAGGATGAGGTTGCAAAATTGCCCAAACCAGGTAAACTAAGGTTCTCCCGGTAGAATCTGGAAGCCTAGCTGGCCTGGTCGAACCAATCTGAGCTACTTTCCGCTCGAAGCAGTGAATTCAAAGGACTAATTTTCGAGCGTCGTACCAATCGTCGCCAACGGCCGGGAAACATTTTCTAGCGAGTCGAAGTCAAAGAAAGCAGAACGGAGAGAAGCATTCGAAGTCGTTGAGAAGGCGTCAGGCAGCATCAGGCAAAGATGATGGCAGCAGCTACGGCCTATGGGACGGGCGCTGGAAAGACAGTAAGCGAACGCCGAATCACATGCTGCTTGTGGTTGAGAGTAGATCGGAAAAACTTCCTCTCTTGCAAACATACGCACACACACGTACGAGGAGTTTATTTACACAGCCTGCGGGTAGACACACATTTTCACATTGCTACTTCTGCGCACAGCCCAACGGCCATAATGACGTCGGAACGTAAATGAATAGATGCATTTGGGAAAAAAAATTCGCCGGCCCGTCTGTTCTCCTTCTGAGTAGAAGCGTCTGGATAGGAACTTCCCCAGGGTCCGAGAAGCTTTGTGAAGCCCGTTGTAAAGGCGGGAGCTGTTGGGTAAGTAAGGTAGAAAGAGCAGCCGAAACAGTACTAACATCTTTCACCCTCTCTTTTTTCTCCCTGTTTATCTCTTTCTCTCTCTCTCTCTCTCTCTCCCTCTCTGCTTTGCCTATGCAACAGTAATAGTACGGGTGAAATGTAAGGCTTCTGTGGTGTACCAGGTCGCGATCATAATTCTCGGACTGACAAGTAGTCGCGAACAAGAAAGGGCACGAATGGGGCAAGGGAGAAGGCTGGTTGTCCAAGCGAATTTGGTAGGGCAAGCATGAGGCAAATGGTCGCCCTACAAGCCATCTATCAGTGCCGGAGATTGAATTTGAGTACAAGAACAGGGTTATAAAGAGAAGCTAAAGCTCCCGCTGTATTCCCGCTGCTACGAAGGCCGCTGCCCTCGGTGCTGCTGCTTCTGCGAGTTCATAAGTCAGGAATGATCGAGACCCGGTTGGTCAGAGGGGAACAACTGCGGCCGACCGGAGAGCAACGTCCGGTTTGAGTTAATAGCGACGACGTGGCGGCGGCAAGTTAGTTGACCTGATAGAATTGCGATGTCCACAGCTCCGCAGGACTTTTGGCTTTCATTGGCTTTCTATGCACTTCCCGAAGGGCTTAACTGGTAACTCTGTTTGGGAGACAGACGTAAGTCAAGTAGTCGTCGACGTTACTGCGGTAGTTGCAATAGTCTCATTCGCGAGATAAAATTCGCCAAGAGCCAACTTGGCTGATTTCACAGGTCGTCGTTCGCTGGCCAGAGATTATTTGCATCTCAATGTCTCAGTGAGTCGGTGCGCGGATTTAGTGTATGTGTCAATGGGCGCGAAGTAGAATAGGATGGCCCTGCGCAGGCTCAAAGCGCATGAAGCCATTTTCTTTTCGGCATTTTCTTCATTCTTTTGGCCATTCATTCGTTAAGGCCTGTAAATTTTTCCTATCCGGCTTTCGTCGTATCGCGCTGAGTCGGCGCGCCACTCGCGTCATCCACTGTTTACGAGAACTGTATTGGTACGGGTACTAATATCTGTACACGAACGGATGCCAAGCAGGCATTGGCTGTCGAAAGTCGGTTTACTCTCTTGGGGCCCGTTGAGGCAAATCGTGATCGTGGTTATAGGTTATAATTGTTGTGGAGGGGGTGGCGGCTAGGAGACTCTGTAACAAAAAGAAGAGGTCTGCGACAAAGACGGGTGGCGTTTAATGCTGCAACCGCGGTCTTATTGTTGGGTCGCCATTGGGGAATTAACGCAAGTAGGTGACATGTTAGATAGACAGAACGGGCCCTCATTGTAATCATAGTGGGCCACAGAACAAATTTGCTTCGAGGAAATGGGTACATGGGAGGAGATGCAGCCCCAATGGCAACGGACAAGACACATGACAGAAGCGCGATATGTTGAATATTAGGCGTCTGCAGAAATCCGTCATTCCGCGTTCCGCGATTAACAGGCAGGAGTACAAAAGACAAGTTCTTGTAGCAAAATTTTACAACCTACGTGATATTAAAATTAAGTGGTTTTGGGAATTTTAACAGACGGTGCAAACAGAATTGAGATGCACGTACTAATGATGCATCTAATTTTATTTAAAATTCTTTGAAATGTTTCTAGGTTATTGGATATTAAGATGTCTAAACGTTCAGGGAAGCGGACGAACTTGGCGCTGAAGAGACCTGTGATTATTTAATCGCAGGCTACGTCAACGATTGATCGTTCCGGAAATCATTCTGAACTGTCGGAACGAGTGTGAATTCATTCAGGCTGGACGCATGGTATCCAAAGTTCGTTCAGGCCTGCTAAACTCAGCGATGTTGTAGAAGGTTGTTAAAAACAGCATGTCAAATACTAGCCAAGAAGTAACGACCACACGACAGCAGACAATAAATGGGTAACGACACAAGTGGTAGCTAAACTATCGACCGGTTGCTGCATTTGGCTTTCTAAGAGCCTAAGGAGCTACGGACATAGGTAAGATATTTGCAAAATAGCGGATTGAGAGAATCAATAGACATGTTGATGGGAATTAACGATATACTTATAAGTTTTAAGTTGGCAGTTTAGGCAGAGCTGATAGTAAAAACAGTTTATTAAAAGTGACCGATAGGGGAACCATGTCACATATACAGTTATCAGGTTCGTCGCCCGGTTAATGCTCAGATAGTTTGCAAAAACAAGTTGAACCTTGAATATTAGTTCGCGGATCGTTTCGAAATTGTGATGAATGTTCTCAAAAATAATCCGCTTGCTTCAACCTTTTCT